GGTGTACAAGGCCATACTGTTGTAGGGGGGCGTACAAGGCTGTACTGTTGTAGGGGGGTGTACAAGGCTGTACTGTTGTAGGGGGGTGTACAAGGCCGTACTGTTGTAGGGGGTGTACAAGGCCGTACTGTTGTAGGGGGTGTACAAGGCCGTACTGTTGTAGGGGGTATACAAGGCCGAACTGTTGTAGGTGGGTGTACAAGGCCGTACTGTTGTAGGTGGGTGTACAAGGCTGTACTGTTGTAGGGGGGAGTACAAGGCCGTACTGTTGTAGGGGTGTACAAGGCTGTACTGTTGTAGGGGGGTGTACAAGACTGTACTGTTGTAGGGGTGTACAAGACTGTACTGTTGTAGGGGTGTACAAGGCTGTACTGTTGTGGGGTGTACAAGGCCGTACTGTTGTAGGAGGTGTACAAGACCGTACTGTTGTAGGGGGGTGTACAAGACCGTACTGTTGTAGGGGTGTACAAGGCTGTACTGTTGTAGGGGTGTACAAGGCCGTACTGTTGCAGTGGGTGTACAAGATTGTACTGTTGTAGGGGGGTGTACAAGACCGTACTGTTGTAGGGGGGTGTACAAGGCTGTACTGTTGTAGGGGTGTACAAGGCCGTACTGTTGTAGGGGGTGTACAAGACCGTACTGTTGTAGGGGGTGTACGAGGCCGTACTGTTGTAGGGGGGTGTACAAGGTCGTACTGTTGTAGGGGGTGTACAAGGCTGTACTGTTGTAGGGGTGTACAAGGCCATATTGTTGTAGGGGGGCGTACAAGGCTGTACTGTTGTAGGGGGGTGTACAAGGCTGTACTGTTGTAGGGGGGTGTACAAGGCCGTACTGTTGTAGGGGGTGTACAAGGCTGTTCTGTTGTAGGGGTGTACAAGGCCATACTGTTGTAGGGGGGCGTACAAGGCTGTACTGTTGTAGGGGGGTGTACAAGGCTGTACTGTTGTAGGGGGTGTACAAGGCTGTACTGTTGTAGGGAGGTGTACAAGGCTGTACTGTTGTAGGGGGGTGTACAAGGCCGTACTGTTGTAGGGGGTGTACAAGGCTGTACTGTTGTAGGGGTGTACAAGGCCATACTGTTGTAGGGGGGCGTACAAGGCTGTACTGTTGTAGGGGGGTGTACAAGGCTGTACTGTTGTAGGGGGGTGTACAAGGCCGTACTGTTGTAGGGGGGTGTACAAGGCTGTACTGTTGTAGGGGGTGTATAAGGCTGTACTGTTGTAGGGGGTGTACAAGGCTGTACTGTTGTAGGGGGGTGTACAAGGCTGTACTGTTGTAGGGGGGCGTACAAGGCTGTACTGTTGTAGGGGGGCGTACAAGGCTGTACTGTTGTAGGGGGGTGTACAAGGCCGTACTGTTGTAGGGGGGTGTACAAGGTTGTACTGTTGTAGGGGGTGTACAAGGCTGTACTGTTGTAGGGAGGTGTACAAGGCTGTACTGTTGTAGGGGGTGTACAAGGCTGTACTGTTGTAGGGGGTGTACAAGGCCGTACTGTTGTAGGGGGTGTACAAGGCTGTTCTGTTGTAGGGGGGTGTACAAGGCTGTTCTGTTGTAGGGGGTGTACAAGGCCGTACTGTTGTAGGGGGTGTACAAGGCTGTACTGTTGTAGGGGGGTGTACAAGGCTGTACTGTTGTAGGTGGGTGTACAAGGCTGTTCTGTTGTAGGGGGTGTACAAGACCGTACTGTTGTAGGGGGGTGTACAAGGCTGTACTGTTGTAGGGGGGTGTACAAGGCTGTACTGTTGTAGGGGGGTGTACAAGGCTGTTCTGTTGTAGGGGGTGTACAAGGCCGTACTGTTGTAGGGGGTGTACAAGGCTGTATTGTTGTAGGGGGGTGTACAAGGCTGTACTGTTGTAGGGGGGTGTACAAGACCGTACTGTTGTAGGTGGGAGTACAAGGCTGTACTGTTGTAGGGGTGTACAAGGCTGTACTGTTGTAGGGGTGTACAAGGCTGTACTGTTGTAGGGGGGGGTGGTACAAGGCCGTACTGTTGTAGCGTGTGTACAAGGCTGTACTGTTGTAGGGGTGTACAAGGCTGTACTGTTGTAGGGGGGGTGGTACAAGGCCGTGCTGTTGTAGGGGGATGTACAAGGCAGTACTGTTGTAGGGGGGGTGTACAAGGCCGTACTGTTGTAGGGGGTGTACAAGGCTGTACTGTTGTAGGGGGTGTACAAGGCTGTACTGTTGTAGGGGGTGTACAAGGCTGTACTGTTGTAAGGGGGTGTACAAGGCTGTACTGTTGTAGGGGGGTGTACAAGGCTGTACTGTTGTAGGTGGGTGTACAAGGCTGTACTGTTGTAGGGGGTGTACAAGGCCGTACTGTTGTAGGGGGTGTACAAGGCCGTACTGTTGTAGGTGGGTGTACAAGGCTGTACTGTTGTAGGGGGTGTACAAGGCCGTACTGTTGTAGGGGTGTACAAGGCCGAACTGTTGTAGGTGGGTGTACAAGGCCGTACTGTTGTAGGTGGGTGTACAAGGCTGTACTGTTGTAGGGGGTGT